AGATACGTGGCACAGTTAATCGTGGAACAGGGGGGCGTGCCATCAGGTGCCTATAAATACCCCAATGTGGGGAAAGGTATTCGCTTCTTGAAACCCGAACTATCTGAATTCCTATATTATCTCTCCATATTCTCCAATACTGAATACTAATTCTCACGCCGGATGTACAATGGGGGAGAGAGCCCGACCTCATTTTGCATGTGGTAAATACCGAACTGAGCAGCAGGAACACCAGTCACATTCGGGAGAACACCTCACAATTATTTCAATCTATTTATTAAAATTCTGTAGTGTGGTGTCAACCCAAAAACAAAAAATAAATAAATCAGACTATTATGTAAAATAACCAACACACGTAGAAAATACATAATTTTCACACATCATAAATGACACACCATTCCCACCTCTAATGTTGATGCTGGAGGCACATTTAGTGCACATGTGTTTGTTCTACAATTTCTTCTCAAAAATGCATATCCAAAATTTATAACTATCTTCTTCATTATACTTGATCCTTGCTTTGCCCTCACATATGAGTGCCCCATTATGTACGCCACACCTGCTTCCCTAGCTTCCATCAGTACTCGCAACTCATCCCGAACATTTCGGTCGATCTCCGGGCTCTTGGGAATGACAAACCGCACCCTTTTCCACGGCCTGATCACGGGTGGAGACCGTATTTCTCTAAGCTCCGAAGTGCTAGCCAATTCGGTATTTGCCACATCATTATCCTCACAGACTTGATTACCGTCTTGATGGGTCGAAGGAGTTCCCACCACCATCATTTCCTCGTGTTGCTTAGCAGAATCTTCACCAGCACCGTCTAAACCTTCTCTTCCTGTGCGTATATACTCGGCTATACTGCATACAAGATCATTTTGAAACTTCACATCATCCGCGTGAGCATCACGATAACCATATCGAACGATGCATCTGTATATGCGATACTCCCTCGGACCAATATGTCCCACGAGGAACCGTTCTTCATGTTTAACGTGAGGGATTGAAACTGTTTTAACACAGAGAAGGACGAGAACCTGGTGGAAGGCTGGAATATTGGTGACAAAGTGGGAGAAAATTGACGGTATACCAGATACGAGGTCTGTGTAAATGAGGCCAATGCCACCAACCCGTACTATGCCCAAACCGGGACCAAGGCTAAGTAGCTGGTCAACAGAAACCGTATTTTGGAGATTGAACTCGTACTGTCTCAATGTACCATAGTGCCAAACACACATCACTGACATGAAGAAGAATGAAAGGGCAATTGGTACCCAAGCTCCTTCCAAAAACTTGATTAGAGAAGCAGAGAAATATAGTGCTTCAAACGTCCCAAAAAATAAGATGAAGCAAATTGCAAGGACGGCACTCTGGTGCCAGCATAAAACAATAACTAGAGACATTAAGCAAGTCGTGACCAACATAACGGTAATAACTGCCAAACCTGGGGAAAAAAAACAACAAACTTCAGGTTAGTAAATGTCATCATTATTCGACAGTTAGGACTAGTTGAGAACTACATTAGATTCTTCAGTTAGCATGGAAAGGCATTAAGAATTCTAAGCATCCTGGAGGCTTTTTTTCCTTATTCACATTTAGTTCAGAAGCTTGCTTTTTTAAAAGAGAGTTTTTGCTTACTTTTCAATTAAGTACTTTTACATTTTTAAGCTTAGCCAAACATGTCAATGGCCCAATACCATACTAATATCGAGTATTTTCTGTATATGCATGATTTATTTTATATTAGTGATCTTTCTTTCTTTCTCCGAATCTTTCTTCCTTCCTTTTTTTTTTTTGTTTTTTGGTTGGCGGGGTGGGGATTACCTGAGGCATTTCCCATGCTTTTGGTGTCTCTGAAACCAATAGTGACGGCCAAACATAAAAGCATCAAAATCCAGTTGATCTCAGGTATGTAAATTTGGCCATGGGTTTTTGACGACGTGTGTACTATTTTGACTCCAGGAAAGCACCCCAGAGCAGAGCATTGTTTTATAATAGAAAAAGTTCCGGTAATAATGGCTTGGCTTCCAACTACCGCAGCAAGTATGGCAAGCACCAGAACCGGCCATCTTAATTTCTCTGACACGAGCAAATATTTCTTCTGTTGAGTGTTAATTCACCAATAACTCGCATTCTTCCTATCTAAAAAAACAACAATTGAAAACACATACCAGGTACTGAAACATAAAATCCAATACGATAATCATTATCGACAACATGGTTCTGGGAAAGGTAAGCAGCCTGCCCCATATATGCAAGGATCAAAGACGGATAGACAATAGAAGTGAAGGCTATCTGCAAAAGCATAAGTATATAAAATGAATGTGCAGTTTCATTAGATATTAAGAAATGAATAGTTGTCATATCAATTGATCCCGTGATTAATGTGGAAAAAGTATGAGTCGGGGGTCCCTTGGTACCAGATAGGATTAATAGCTTGACTTTAGCAAAACTTTCTTTAAGATTGCGTGAGGGAATAATTTCCATAAGCTTATAAACTGCTGGAGGAAGACAACTGATTTACAAATGGAAAAAAAAATCAATTTTGCATACACTAGAACGCACAATTCAGGAGCCAACTTGAATTGTTCAAGATTATGAAATTTGTCGGAAGAACCTCACTATAAGAGTGTAAAATGCAAACAGGTCCTAACATGGTCCACAAAATCTGTTGGATGTTACCATGATTCTTGAACTAAACCCCTACTAAACCAATTTCCAAATCCTGAAGATGATAGGGCCATCCTATTTTATTTGAGATACATAGAAAGCTACTTGTTTTTACTTCTACAATCATTTGTTTTCATCACATATTAGGTACGGCTTCCACATAGCTGCAACATAAGAAATGAGACTAATCTTCAAACGATTCAACCAACAAAAGTGTGAAAAAATGATTCATGTAGCTAACCCAAATTTAATATGAAAAAGGCTTAATGCTTGTCTGGGAGTATTTAAGTTATAATTTAAAGTAGCAGGTCCCACAGAATGTGTGGATAAAAAGTGGTTAGTAATTGTGAATCCTACGAAATTTATGGATTTAAAGTATGTTTGACCAAGAGTAAGTATAAATTAAACACCTCTCAAACAAGCACTCAGTTTGTTATATCTAATTATAAATTATGACGTCTTTCGTGACAATAAAATCACACGGTCCCTCTAGAAAGAACTTCATTTACGAAGAAACATATGTTAACATTAAAGCATAACGGCATTAAAAGTGGTCAATACTCATCTATTTCTTTTGTACGAGAGAAACTACCTATATTAAACTAAAAAATAACTTTCTGATGGACTAAAAACTAGATCAATTCAATTGACTTCCAAAACACTTTTCTTTAGAACTTGGGCTTTTTTTCAATACAATTAAAACCAAATGAATCAGGGAGGAAGGAAATTTAAAATGATGATATATAGTTCATAACATGGGGGAAATTTAAAATGATTATGTATAGTTCATAACATGGGGAGTAATCTACTACACGACTTTTTCTTTAAGATTATTAACAGTTGGTAAAAGTGTCCTAGATCGGTTATTATATGTGAAATTATTATACCTTAATTGACAATTGGGAAAAGTGTCCTAAATCAGCAAACATTGCTTCTGAACCTGAGAATAGAACAAAATATTAACTACTCTTGAGGGTAAAGGCAAAAAAGGAAGGAGAAGAAGGTTATACAAGTAATTCTAATGTCCAAATATTGAATAGATAAACTTGCCTGTTATGCACAACAGAATCCCACCCAAGGACATCCAACCTCCTCTTTGTGTTTTTTTCAGAAATTTGTACATGTAGTAAGGAGATAGAGCTCGATACACATGAGGGTTCCAGTGGAAAATATTATATACACCAATAGAACTTATGCACAAAAGCCATGTTATGACCACAGGTGAAAACAAGAACCCAACCCTGTGGGTGCCATAGTGTTGAAGGGCAAACAAGGCTATCAATATGATACAAGCAAATGGGACTTCTATATCTGCGAGATTTTCATTTTAAGAATCAACTTTACAAGATTAGTATTATGTTATGTACTATAAGCACAAATACAATTCCGTGACAAGAAATTATAGATTGAAAAACTTTAATTGCGAGATCCGTACCAAACGAATTCAGTTAAAATACGTATTATGTAGTTTATAATGATAAAACATAGTATAGATGCCAATCAACATACGAAAAGAAGCTTCATCCTATACACTGTAACCAAACTTGAAACTTATTCCCAAAGTGCCATAATATATTTGCACAAGAGAAATCAACTGTTCATAAATTTCGGACAAGCATCCATAATATTTGTAAATATCTATGTTTTCGAATCATATTAGAGCATATTACATAGACAGGTGTTATTCTCCTCACGTGGCTTTAGTCATTGTCCTATTCTGCATATATCTTCACACATGGCCATAATATTATCTTCAAAATGACACTAATCAAAGAAATAAGATATATGCATTTGTTCAAACGTCTCATGATTCTGCATGACGTAATTGTATCTGAATCACCTAAAGACAACAAGTTTGCACAACATTGCTTTAAAATCTCTCTTTCTTTCCATCCATAAAGGCAATACTCTCACTCCAATCTAAATTAAGAAAGCTTCACCTGCCATGGCTTAACCAAAAAGCACTTGATGCAGAACAGAACTGTAGAACTTTAGACTTCTTTCTTTCTAAACCATATGATGGCAAGCCTTCTGAAGCATATAATAGTTCGGCAAAAAAAATGCAACAACGTAAAGTTCATACGAACTAGAACTAGGAACTAGAAGCAGGACTATATTAGGTATTTTCCCCAAAATAATAATAATAATGAAAAAAAAAAACTGAATAATAGTAGGCATCGAGCCACATCCATGATCATTATGTTACACACCAAATCATTTAATCTTTTATTTCGCTTATACATCCCCTTATTTCCTATGCAGTATGAGCTGTGCCATGACTAGAGTATTGCACTGGATGATATGAGATACAGATGCATAATGTAAGATAACAAAATGAAACTGTTACTAATGCAACAGTATGCTAATAGTTTTTCTGCATGATTAATTGAATCTTTTGGGAAAAAGCCATTTTCTTCCTGTTTCTCTTGGAAGCATCATGAGTACCAACTACCTCCAGGCATAATGACGGAGATATTCGACAAAAAGTAAAGAACGAGCACACAATCTTAGATTATTTGAAACTGATTTTATAGTTATATCCTTCAATCTATAGTGAAACAAGTTGTTAAACATGTAGTTCAAAGTCTTGCAATTAATTTTATTATCTACAAACTTGACTGCGATGGAACTGGCAAAGGCAACTAGACAAATAATACACCTGGAAACAATGAAACAGTACAAGATTAAGAATCTTACACTGTTGATGCCCTTTCGACATTGCTAGTTCGATTCCAGAAACTGCAGAGAAAACTGCATAAAACACGGGATGCATTGAACATAAAATACCAGGCTCCAAAATGTCAAAAATAAAACCGCATAAACAAACGAAATACCCGAAATTGCAGGACTAAGTATGCCATCACCAATGACCATACAAGCGCCAGTTAGAGCCAATAATAGCAAAAAATTTTGCAGAACTCTATGTTTTTCCAGAATAGATTTTAGCCTTGCACTAAAAGTAGAAGGTGCAGGACTAATAATATCCTTCTTGTACATTGACAAATCTTCATCTACAACCTGGCTACTGGACAAAGAATTCACTCTGGCATGTCTACATAGAAGTGAATAAAGTGCAAATGTGCCTCCTTCACCATTATCATCAGCCTTTAGCACAATGAACACATACTTTAGAAGAGGAACTATTGTTAATGTCCAAAATACAAAGGATAAGACCCCATAGATTTCTTCATTAGTCTCAGAATGTTCAATGTCATCAGCAAAAGTACTCGTGTATACATATAATGGTGATGTACTCAAATCCCCATATACAACACCCAAACTCTGATAAGCTAATGTCAAAACTGTTCTCCAAGATTCTTTCTGCAATCCCACCAAAACAAAATTTATCAGAGAAAAAACCACCCAAAAGAAGGCTCAAATTCATCAATGATTTCAAACAGAACTCACCTTAACATGATTCTGATGAAACCCAGTTTCAGGATCCATTGTGGGAGCTCTTAAAACCCCAAAAAAACCATTTCCACTGCAAATTCAAGAATTTCAACTATGACCATTTTCCAAATTACCCTCCCCAGTAAAGAACTTCCAAGAAAAAGAAAAACACAAAATGACAGATTCCAATTATATAAACCCAGAAATATAATAATTTATTTGGAAGGTATCCATATGTTACACTGAAATAGAAGTTTAACAACCTCTGGAGAATGAATAAAAGAAAACCCAAAAAACAGTGCTGTAAAAACCTGATAAAGAAAGGTAACAACTTGGAATCAGAGCATATTGACTCGAATAATTTGCTAGTGACAGCTTAATATAGTATGTTTTTTACAATATTTTAGGAGGGTGAGATGTGGTTTGTCATTCATGAGAGTATGTTACTTCCAAGTTTTTCGTTCTGAAAAAAACACTCTTTTTGTGGCTGTATATTTGTCGAAGTTGGTGTTTTTTTCCATATCTTTCCATTCGGCTATGAATGTGTCAATGTAAGCTATGAAATCGAGCAGACAATAAGATGATTAAGATATAAATCTATTCTATTGATTCTGGATTAGCATTTTGATTTGACAATCTGGAATTCAGATTCTGTTTATAAAGATAACTNCCACCTTGCGGGGAATCGAATTCTGCACACTACCGCGCTGAGCCCTAACCGCCCTCCCCTTTGCCACTGGTAGATATGCCCTGGGGGCATATCGATTCTATTGATTCTGGATTAGCATTTTGATTTGACAATCTGGAATTCAGATTCTGTTTATAAAGATAACTGGAATGCGTTTACTTTATCAAATTTCTTTGTGGGACCGCTTAAATATAAAAGCAATAATAAATATTTAAATTTGGATTACGCTTCTTAATGATGTTAAAGTTATAAAATGAAAATAAAGTTCCGTCTCAAAATTGAATAGTAGACTTTAAAAATTGAGTAATGCCAGTCACGTTGATGATGCAATCTCAGTCTAGGTGTTGACAATATGATATTAAATAATAAGTGAAATTAAATGAGTCTTTTAATTTTACATTTCATTTGGCCTATAATATAGTATCATCATTATTCTTAAAAATTGGTGATGTTCAACTAGATACCATTTAATGCATGTTTAGCTTAGCAAAATATTGAAGTTTTAGGATGCAAATTCAAAAGTCTCAAAACGCTTATTCACGTGTAAACTGGAGTCACTGTGACTTACTACGTGTGAAACATGAATTCATTTTAATAAATAAGTATAATGAATTTTGAATTCAAAGTTTTTATCAGCTTGGATGGTGCAACTTCAGTCCACATTAAGCTCTTGCTTAATGTTAGTAGACTTTAAAAAATGAGCAATGCTAGTCACGTTGAGATTGCAATCTCGGTCTAAATGGTGGCAATATGATATTAAATAATAAGTAGAATTAAATGAGTCATTTAATTTTACATTTCATTTGGCCTATAATATAGTGTCATCTATATTGGGGAAGCAACCCTAGCAAGGCTATATTGGTGATGTTCAACTTAATACCATTTAATGCATGTTTAGCTTAGCAAAATATTGAAGTTTTAGGATAAAAATTCAAAAGTCTCAAACGTTCATTCACGTGTAAATTAGTGTCGTATGAAACATGAATTCATTTAAATAAATAGGTATAAAGAAATTTGAATTCAAAGTTTTTATCAGCTTGGATGGTGCAACTTCAGTACACATTAAGCTCTTGCTTGGTAACCATAATTTTTAAAATACATTTTTCTCTCGTATTTTCAACCACATATTTTTCAATAATACACATAAATCCAAAATTTTTCTTTATTTTTTAACCATACAATCTCCATCAAAATACTATTCCAAAATGCATTATTTCGAGGAAAAAAAAAAATTGGGCTCAAACATGCTCTAATTCTTTCTTGATCTTGTTTTTAGCTTCCTCAAAGAACTGTTTTCTTATAATTATGGAAGTATACTAATCAATGACAGGTTTTCGTATTTATTTTGAAGTATCTAACAAGAGGCTACTTTCAATTTTATTTGAAGAGGCGTGAAATTTATTTAAATTATAATTGTAGGTTTTACTTTAATTAAATAATAAATATACATCTACTTTAATGTGTAATCGTACGACTAAATTCAACATGTCATCGGATTATTACAATAAGACATAAATTTAAATGTATACAGATGTTGAAAGATTGACAGAATGGTAAACAAATAGATATCCAGCTTTCGTTTAATTAAGTTGTTCAATTCAAACTATTAATAATATTATTCAATTCAGATCTCATGCCACTTCAACGTCTAAATAATAATCATCGTATAAGAATTTGTGAGTTTTCAGGAAGTTAAAAAGATTAGGGTATGTTCTCTTTATCATTTTCAAGTCCTTTTCTATTTTCGATTTTCCAAAACAGTGAAAACGCGTTCTCTTTCCTATTTTCGAAAACGGGTTATAATCAAGTGAAAATTTTCAAAATGCATTTTGGATTTTTTCAAAATGTCAAAAAAAACGTATTTTCAACAATCTCAAAATGAACACTCAAAACATAAAACTCAAAATGAATTCAAAACTCAACACACAAAGAGAACGGCTCTTTATTTTTTCACGTGAACCACCATTTCAGAAAATATGATATTATTTGCTTTGAACAAAAAGGAACTCGTTAGGTCTTCAAGGCGATTATGTTCATGCTTGAGACAACATGACTAACTCTATTTCTTTAACAGAAATATAGCTGAACGTCAAATCCCATGCTTTACCAAATTTTTGACTTTTTGTGAATTTAAAGGATCATTTGAATTTGTCATTAGTTTGACCTACCTAGCAACCTGTGATGGGTTGTCACCTGCCATAGATGAAAATGAAATTTTTTTTTTTTTTGATACCTAAGTATCCCAACTTACACCAGACTATGTCTTAGACCACCCATCTCCGACCCCTCAGTAATGGGTGGAGGTTAATCGTGGTATATGCCCAATGAAAATGAAATATTTGGTGTAGACTTGAGACGCGCTTCGTTCATTTGCAAATTGCAAGTATATCTTCCACTTGTACAAGAAACTGACTTGTCCCTCGAGTCATGACTTAGATATTAAGACCCCAGATTTGATGCCTCGAATTTGTTGTTTTCTTAGCCGTCGCTCAATATATTTTGACATATAAGTTTTTCTTAGCAAGTAAGAAGATGTAAGTATTCAAAAAAAATAATTTTGACGTTTTTTCATCTGTTAAGCAGATGTGATGTATTGACGTGTAAAAAATAAATTGGGGAGAACAAATACATTTCAATTTAGTTATTAAAATATTTGGATGAAGTCGAGGAACCGCTAGCACGCCCATACGCCCAATTTGAATTGAGTAGTGGACCTTATTGCAAGTGAACTGATTCAAGTCAATTCGAAATGTGCAAAATCTGCCTGAAGTGGTTAAAAATAAGGGGAAAAAACAAAAAGATCGAATATTTGTCACCAATTGACCCTCTCTTCCCTTTTGATTACAATCTCAAGTCAAAAAATAACTTTTCTAGAACCTCTCATATATTATTTTTCACAATGGATAAATTATTTGATTATATTAAATCGAGTTTTTTTTCATATATATATATTTTTAAAATTAGTCTAGATTTAAACTCAGTCCGATGTGTTAATAATGTCAACTAGGAGTTAAGATTATTTATGGTCACAATTAAAGATATTAATAATTCATTTTTATGGAAAGAAATAAGTTGAAGCCATGTCTGAAATTCATTTATATTTTTTAAGTGAATTGATGGCTACAAGCTACCACACACACATATAGCTTCAAGGTGTGACAACTTGTTTTTTCATTTTATTTTTTTATTTTTAGCTAAATTTTTATTATTTTTAATCAAATCTATGAAGAACTCAAAGTCTAGCCATGTTATATGGTTCCTAATTTGAAAAATTGATAAAAATCTAATTAAAGTTTATAATTAATTTTAATCATATATTTTATTAAGCCCCTATTTGATGGCCATTATTTGCGAAAAAGATATTTTGAATAGTGGATTTTTGTAGACAGTGTAGTTAAAAAGTAGGAAATTTTTTTGGATTTACGTGCAAAATATTTTATTGTGTGAATGTGCGGTTGTAAATAAGTATGTAGAAAAAAAAGAGTTTTGAATTAAGTGCCATCAAATAGGGGTTGAATTTATAACTTTTATCAATTTTTCAACCACAAATTTCATCGATTTTTATAAAAAAAAAAAAAAAATTTAAATTTGATTTTTAGCTACACAAAAAGAGCATGAAATAAAAACGAGATTGATTCGTTGGAATTCTTTATATCTTCCTAGCGGGGACTTACTTACAAGTAATTATTTTTTATTTTTGAGAAATTTGTACTTACGAGTAGACATACAATAAATTATTTGGGTTCGATAAAGGGTTCTGTCGAGTTTAAATTTTTTACCTTTAAAATTTTTACACTCAAGACGTATGAAATTCCAATAATGTTCTTGCTTTAGGACTTCGACACACAATAGAATTGCAAAATAATGACATTTAAGATTTTATTGAATTTTTTAGGAAGATCGCCCAATATATAAGTTACCTAAGGTGTTTCAAAAAACAATCTTGCTACATGTACATCTTTCTTTACACCTTGATTTACCTAATTTGCACTTGGCAAAATCTCACATCACCTTTCACATTTCACACATTTAATCCAACCACCTCCATCTGCCACATCATTCATCCGTAAACCAAGTGGTAAAAGAGGTGGTACA